TTCTGTGCTTCGTCTGGAAAATCGGCTCCAAGTTTCACTAAAAATGACTCGATGAAAAGTGAAAGAGATGCTCGTGTGGTGCAGAACAAACAACTCAACACAAGTTTTAGCCAGATTTGATCTCGTGTTGTTGTTTATGCTTCATAAAAACGATAAGAACATGGACCAGGATTGTTCTGGCTCATCTACCATGTAGTCTGTAGATGCTTCGGGCTCTTGGTCGTGTTCCTCGATACGTTACTGAACAGTGTGTGCATCGTGTCGGGATGCGTTGTTCTTCTTCTGTACTTGGTCTGGTTCAGGTTTAGGTGGAACGTCTCAAAGTAACATCTGCATGAATGTGCAGAACTACAGCATGAGTAGAGACTAAAAGTATACCTACCGACAACGACAACAACACCTAAGCTCAACGCAACACAGCGACTGCAGCGGTGTTACTCAGACTATTAGTTTTTATTTGCGTTTGGAATCATTTTGGACAGATTTTGAATAATTTTATACTAATTTTAAATAATTCAGGCCACGTTTGAGTGCATGAAGACTCTTGTGTTCACTCTTACAGCAGAACATCTGGTTAGTTTTGATCGTGGTTCAGACATTTTAGCAGAAGCAGCTGTTGAAGGTAAATAAAGCTGGTGGACTGAGAGGCTCATTCTGATTGGTTCACCTGGAAGCAGTGAGTGGGCGGGGCTACACAGAGCTGGATGACTATTGGTTGGTTACCTGTGAGGTAATAAATTCTTTTGGTTTGTAAAATTGGGCGTCTCTGGCGTAGCTGGAGCTCCAGACGAGGCGGCTAGCAGCTTTTACTTCACACCTTCAAGTTTATAACCACCACAGAACACAATAAAAATGGATTTTCAGCGCGCGAGGCCTTTAATATAATTTTGGTTCTAAATCAGGACGACAGCCGAGCAGGAATCCGTCCTCTAACTCCAGGCTTCTCACGCCTTTTATGAATCAAACACAATAAAAAACAGATGTGAGGTGTGAGATACGTTACCAGCCAACGACCTTTAAAGCTCACCGGCAGCAGATTTAAGGATGAAGCTTCAGTCTGTGGGGATGAAACTGGTCATGATTCACACATCAAAGCGCCGCCATGGAAACACACGACGGTGTAGAAACTCTGTTTGACTGATCCTCGGCCTCCAGAGCTTCCTATTCATGTATGCACAAGAACTCGGATTACGACCCGTATTTATGCATTAATACAAAGCCTCCGACCCGGGCCTCCGTCAGCGTGGAGAGCAGTAAGAGTTCAGATATTCATGTGCAGTCATTAAAACATCCAGCGCTGATACACAAACCCACGGGTCAAGTACCGCCGCCGCACACCGGCTCATGTTTTATCTGGGAACTTATTCAGAGATGTTCTTTCATCAGCATCACATCAGCGTGGAGCAGCTTCTCTGATCTCGTTCAGACATTAATGCACAGAACTAATCAGAATAATTAAAGTCATTTTAGGACTCTTTTGACAGTATTCAACGTGGATTTGGTTGTTTCATTTCAACCACTTTCCAAAAAAATACAGAGTGTAAAATTATTATTATTATTATTATTATT